GGGGGGGGGCAATTGACACCCTGGACCCTTCGTGGGCCTGCCCCTGTGGATAACCAACACAGCCAATGTCGTGATGCAGTTTTTGTCAGGCCGCCATTGCTGGATCACCTCCTCTATGCATGGCCACTATTGTTGAGTTGCCCTCGCCAGAAGACCATCATCACCTGACCGATGTCGAGCTATCGCTACCACCTTCATACCATTATGCGAAATTTCATCATTCCACTATCACTAGAATACTATCATCATTATTTGATCATCATCTTCCCATTGCTGCTATGCCAAATCACTTATGTTCGACTGTTGTTGTTGTTGTTGTATAACATCGCCATCGCCATCACCAGATCAAATCACCCCACTATCGCCATACTGAATCATCATCTCTCGATTGCCATTATGTCAGATCACCGTTGCCCCTCTCTTGTTGCTTTTTGTGATACACCATCGTTGTTGCAGGATCATCGTCTCCTGGCCTCCATCGCCATTGCGTCGAATAACGTTCGTCATTGCAATAACACGGCTGCCTGGTCAACACAGCTGCTCTGCCACTACTGCTATCCCGATACACCGTTGTTGTCCAATCACCATCTTTGGATCACTGTTGCCTAGCAATCTCAACTAATATTGCCGGATCACTGTTGCCTAGTCGCTACCACCATTGGTGGTAATGAATGTAGATCGCGACAACTCTTGTTGTCGGTCTTCCATTGCAGTCGGATTGCTGTCAGTTTCCTAATATTTTTTGTCACTTATCTAATGAAAGTCAAGTTAATTTATGTCACTATTATAATTCTCTTTTATTCTGTTCAAGGGCATACAACCTTGTAGCATATATATGAATAGTGAAATTATTTCAACTGGGACATACTTTGTGGTTTTTTTCTTTCGGGGTTTCCACGTTAAAATCTCTTGTATCTTCTCTATTAGTTCATTTATTTATGTCTGTGCTAAATTTTTGTATAATACTAAGAGGTTTATATTTCTATATTGGTGCGAATTCTCCCAACATGGAAAAATCCTTTTTTTTTTGGGTTTCAAATTTAGCAAAACCAATGAAACAAATTCATATGGGAAAATTTGGCAACCATGCAAGTTAATTTGCCTAGGCCTGATCTAAATCTACTCGACTGGCTGAGTGTGTCAACATATTGGATTAGACCAAGTTTCTATAGTCATCTAGCGCAACCAATTGCCTCTACTCAACTAGCTTTAGTGAACTCAACCAACCTCACCCCTCTTATTCTCCTCTAATTTTTAGCAATTCCTTGCGGTATGATTTTTGCTTTTCCTGTGGACAAATTTGAATCAAACAAAAATTTTGATTTTTGATTATAAAATTTTTTAAAGCTTGCAATTACCTCCATAAGAGCACACTTTTGAAGAGAGAAGACTCAGGCTAAGTGTGTTTATTGGCGCTAGAAGAGTGACAAATTTGAACAGGCTCTTATTTATTTGATAGATGTATGCATTTTACAAGAATAATGCCATTTAATTATTTTACAGCTTCAATTATATTTTTTATATTTTTGATTTATTTATCTAATCATTTTGTTGATCATTCTTTTTTCTTTTATGATTAGCATTAGACACCATAATATTGATATAAAATCAATCTTTTGTGAACTTAGGGTATGTTTGTAACAACTGTAATTTTCTTAAGAAGCATGTGTAAAACTGCTGTTTCCAAATAAAAATTATTTTGACCTTGCAGAATGTTGCTGTTTGTGCACTGTTTCAAAAATAGTTCAAATGAAATATTTGAACTAAACTTCAAAATATTACAAAAATGCCCAAGTCTAAAATATCACATTAAAAGTCATACATCTTTTGACTCTTGTGAATTACAAAAAAATTCTATATAACATAAGAACAAGTAAAATTATTATGATAGTAGTCTTCAAGTTTAAATGATCAAGCCTCTAAAAAAAATCTAAAAAAAATTGATCAAGCCTCTGAGAGATTTTTTTTCCAAAGCCATTGTCTAAAGTTGGCTCCTCATAGTCCTCAACTCATCTAAAGAAGTCATATTCATCAGGCTCCTGTTTCTCGGACAACTATAAATCTTCTCCCAAAATTGGTTTCTCGTCGAGACGTGTATACACAATATTGCAAATCACAGTGACAATACACAAATCTTGAGCTAGTGGAATTTCTTTAACTCATATTTTACGAGAATACATATTTTAAGCTTAAATTGATATTAAAATGAGAAATTAGAAGAAAAAACAGACAAAAAATAATGAGAGCAATCAAAGCATGTTCACACCTCAATAAAATAAAAGAAAAAAAAAATAAAAAATTAAATATGTATTGCATCAACCAAGATAGTTTTATCCCATTCAACAAAAAAATCAAGACATTTCAAAATTCACCCATATTCCATCAATTTATCTGTTATAAATATTTGACACATTTATCAAGACATCCGTGATTTGTTCCCCCAACTGAATCATTTTCTGAACACCCTCCCATCAGATGTCTCAACACCCAAATTTTCTTCTAGTATTGACCATCTTTTATAATGTTCAAATGTTTCAACGGGTATGCACATATGATTTTCATGTAAGACCCTGGAGTCCACATCATTTTGAGATGGATTTCTGTGTAAGAAGTTATGCATAGCTACCATTGCTGCAACTATTTTGATATGTTAGCATATTTCGGAGTACGACTCATTTTTTCTTTCATACACTGAATGCGCTTTTAATTACACCCCTTAATGATGACTGTTATTTGGTAAACAATTCATTCTCATTTTAACCACTTGATTGCTACATTCAAAATCAAGAATATGATACTTCTTGTTGGGATGCCGAACATCGACGAGGTAATACTTTTCAGTAAGGAAACAATATTAGGACAAATAACCCCATCTACTTTTAAATTAAATTGATTAATTGAACTGACTAGAAGAGAACAATGAAAATTTATATTTAGTTCTCTGAGTTGCACATTTTAAAGATGAGATTCATGAGCACCATATTCTCATCCAACCATTACAAAAGGTAAAACCCACGTTGAAATTGCTAATGTATTTATTGGAGATTCATAACAACTGATATATGCGTTCTTTTTGTTGTTACCAACATGTGCATCAACATGTGTGCTATCAATGCACACAATTCTCTTAGAAATTGTAAACTCTAACAATTAATGTTAAGTAAAACATGTAACAAAGCACAAGAAGATAAACAAAACATATTGCTGAATTAGAGATATAAATTGTTCAAATAGAATGCTCGAATAGATGTTTGAAATATAAGCACATAAATTCTGACATGTACATTAGAATGTCACATAAGCACAAGAGTACATATTATTTGAAATAGATGTTCAAATGTTACAAATTAAACTTAAGCACAAATATGAAAACACAGTTCAACTGGTCTGATTGTTTAAGTAATAACAGAGGTAATGAATCCTCCATTCAGGCATCATCGTCATAAAAACTTCCTGCTTCGTTGGGTCTTCCACCAATTTTGTTGAGAATGAATATAATGACATATCTTCGAAGATTTTGGGAGTGAAGTCCAATAATTTAATAGGGTATGCGTGATAGCTATGTGAGCATTGGATGTAATACTGGCACAAGTCGTAACAAATTGTGAAATTTTTTAAGTTAAAATTGGGTACCATTTTTTTTCCTTTTTAGGTTTTTGGCTTGATGGTGCACACCAGTTGGAATGACTTGATTCACCATTTGCTGTCTCTTGTGGTGGTTCTTCTTAAATTTCATTTGAATGAGCGTATTTATGCTCATCCAAATACTGGGGAAAGCCCTGTGTTGTAGTGCCTGTAGCTACAATACTTAGAAACAACAATTCAAGTTTCTCCTCCAGTTCATGGTCTTTGCCCCAAAATCTAATTTTTTTTGCTTTTGATATAACCTAGAATCGAGAAAATCATAATTCAAATGATATGAAAATATAGAAAAATTATATAACAATATCTTCTATTTACCAAAAGTTCTTCTCTGCACCGCTCGTCGGATGCATTTATCTTTTTCTTAAAAGTATCCCAACCTAATTCAACTTTACCTCATTTTAAACTTCTTCCACATTTTCCAATTTTTTAAATTGAACCCATTTGTTCTTCAACTGAATTTTATGATACACTGCCCGTTTTTTTAATGAAAAATTTTTATTATGTTTTGTCAATCTTATTTATCGAAATGTGTCATTGCTCCGTTGCCTAATTCGATCTTTTTAAACATAAATCACAGAAAATAATCTTTATGTCACTCTCCTAAGTGGCGAATATACAACTTTTCTTTTGTTTTCCTATCTTGTATATTGTAAATATAAAAAGTTGAAAAAATATAACAAATTAAGCTCGTAAGTAAAAATTAATAAAAAAAGTGTACATAAATATAAACAAGACAAGCAATTGGAGTAGAGCTCCATGATAAATCATTTTTTCAAAGATTGTCTCATCTAGGATTACCAACTGCATTCGATTGTCATATATTTATAGAAACATGAGATATAAAGCCAGTAAGTATTGTCGTTGATTTTGTTGTGTGAGCTATAAGACGATGAAATATCTGTGTGTGACTACGACATCCAATGATAACAAATGAGTAAATACAATTATATGAATTACAACTGGTGATCGGCTTAACTCTCTGTATATATTATTTTTAACATCATCGCTTGACATAACATGGCCAGAGTATATGTACCCTATACTGTGCTATTACTGTATCAAAAACCCTCAGCACACAACAGATGAAAAAAACTCTCAACACATTAAGAAATACATTTATATTTTCACGTGCTACTAAAAAATTATAATTTTTGACAAAAATCAACCAACATAGATGCTAAAATGCATAATTGAAATAACCACGACGAATAGAAACAATTATGCGAATGCATAAGAATTGGGCTATATGTATGCAAAGCTTCCAAATAGATGTTAAAATATCACCCATCCAACCTAAAATTATCAATTGAAATCAAAATTAGAGCAATCCCATCGACTCCATAGCAACCCACAATATTTCGTAACAAAACCATTCAATGCTTATATATTTACATGTATATCACAGAACTCTTAAGAATTCACATATCTATAATATCACAACACACATATCTCTTGTACATATATATCACACAATTCTTAGATATTTACAAATTGCGCATTCCACTGAAATTATTAATAGGAAGTGTAAAAGTGAAATTGCCAAAACTGAAATACTCATTGTCATTTCTATGTATTGTCTCATGTATGTAGACTTTAAGTTATAAGCTTTAGCCATGTAAGAATTGAGTTTTATCTAAGTAAATATTTCAAATTTATGTTAAAGTATCACCAACCCATCTAAAGCTTGCAACTTTAAACACAACCACAACAATCCCATCAAATCTTGGTGCACACAGTTCTTATGTATTTACAAAGCTCACACTTAAATTCTATTTGTTACGATCATAAATTTAGATCATGGAATGCTGACAATACCAACATCTTTAACCTAAACCAGAGCAATCTTACCGAAACCATAGCAAGCCCACAAAAATGTTGATGTTAAGACAATTCTTGAATATGAACTAGAAAAAAAAAAGCTGTAAACCACTCAAATATTATGCATTTACATACATAGCATGAAACTCATGTACTCAATTATTATGCATTTACATACATAGCATTTAAATACATTATCATATTGTTAATTGCTGTTTTAATAGACTTTTCTTAATCTTAGTAATCATACTACTCACTGTTAAGTGAGACGTCTATGTTTATTTTGTAATGTTCTGCACTAGATTTGTGCTTTTAATGTATAAAATATATTGGTATTAACGGTTCTGCTGCAAGTAAAATTGCTATATAAAGGCAGAATGATCATTTGTTCAGAAACAACTGCAACATAACTACTTTCAAACTGCAAAAAATAAACAGATAGTCAGCTTATTTGCACAGCAGCTTTCTATGGCAGTTGTTGTGCAACAACTTATTATTAAGCTGCAACTGCCCCAAACAGACCCTAAGATTCTCTAACCACTTGAAAGAGACATTCAAAAAAGAATACGGGTGAAGGACATCTGCAGGACAAGAAAATATGAAATTTTTTGTTTAATACATTTTTTTCTGGGTTCTCTATTGTGCTTTAGTATATCATAATTTAAAAGATAAGGTCATGATATAGGGTGCATTGCATGCAAAAGTAGAAATATGAAATATGAAATATCAGTGCACTGCTCATTAAGCAACCGCCTTACTCATTTCAAAGAAGTTCAATGAAATAAGAATTTTTTTTTGGAATTTTTTTTCATATTCTTGCAAGTTCTTGAGTTAATGTATCTTTTGTTTCTTTATTTGTTAATATGTATTCTTGCGCTTTATTTGCAGTTCAAAAATGCATTGTTTTGCAGGGTATCCTCAAAAATTGATGCTGTATTGTTATCTCATCCAGACATACTCCACATTGGTGCTTTACCCTATGCCATAAAACACCTTGGACTTTTTGCTCCAATCTACGCCACTGAACCTGTATATAGACTTGGTCTTTTGACTATGTATGATTACTATCTCTCCAGAAGGGTAAGCATGTTTGAGATTATGCTTTTCTAACTTCTTCTTTTGTGTAGCCTTTATTTTGTTCTTGTAGTTATATTTGGGATCGTCAGTTCTATTTATTACTTTTTTTATCATAGAAAAGGCATTCCAATGTTTCACTTTGATCATCTAGCGTGAAAAATATCAATCTTTATTAATTCTCTCTTTCAATTTCACCTCCAGTAATTCCGACTCCAATATTCTATGATGCCTCACATCTCCCACTTATCACCTTAATACCACATTGGTGAATGGTAGGGTTATTACCGTCACATCATCAATTTATAGGCTATTATAATTAATTTTTAATTATTGTATTGTTTACTCATTAATCTATGAGCTGTTATATGTTTTCTTGATTTGACCGATTTTTTATTAGAGGTTAAAAGAATTTATGCATACTACATAACACTGGAATGAATTATTCAACTAATTCTGTGCAGGAGTGAACCTACAAGCCCCACGTATGCGGGATTGGAATCTGGATGGGATTCCATCACGTGACAACTGAAGCGGGGATTTTCCCACAAGTTGTTGGACCGTTGGCCTTGTGGGCCCTTTCTTACCTTATTTTGAACCTCTATTTAAGGTTTATTTTTTGTTTTAGTATAAGTATTTTCCTTGGAACCTGGTTTGATACTTTTTGTGTTTTTGATTTATGCAGTAGATATTATTTTCGCCGATTCTTTCTTGGAGTGTTGTATCTTTGGATTTTTCTCTGGTGATATGCCTCGAGCCTGATTGATTCGGGAGTTGATATCTCCTAGATGTCCAAAGGTCACCTTCACCACCGATTTCTCGGCCGACTTGTAGTTTCCCCCTCCTGGCTTGCTAACCAGTTGCGGAAAACCTCAATTTCTCAATTACCCTCATCTTTTCTCCTTCTACAACTTACCCAGCCTCTCTCTCGATCACCCAACGCCATCTAGTAACCCTAGATCGGTGTCAAATTCTTTCTACATCTTGTTCATGATATTAGAGCCTTAGTGTTTTGTTTAGCATCTCTATAAGCTATATAGACTCCGTCGCCGCTTGCCTAGGACTTACAAGTTTTCATTGCTGCAAGTCTCTTTTTGTTCCATCTAATAATCTCCTTGGGAGCTTTCATTGCTGCATCCTTGCCCTTGCCAAACTTTCTCTGTGTAACCTAGGGTTACAAAAGTACCAATGTTCCTTGTTCTTAGGTTCACTTAAAACTGAGATTAGCAACTCAATTCTAACGGGGTGAATAAAGAACTTCTATTCAATATATCATTTGAATAAAAAAATGACCTTAAGTGGTCATATCTGGAATGCGCTTTTGTGAAAGGAAGAATAAAATTGGGTCATTTAATTAGGGTGAACATGATTTATAGTGATGACATGGTTATGAAATTTCGTGATTCCTAAAATAAGTGATACGTGCACATTCCATCATCCAACAAAAGAAAATTGGGATACTTTAAACCATATGTATTTTAAAATCCGTAATGTGGCTAAAATCCATGAGATTAAAACCATGATCTAGTCCACAAAGCGAGAATGATCCATCACAAAATGCCTTAATTTATTACAAGGCTTTTGATAAGAGTTGGGTGATTATTAATGCATTCAAATGGAATGTATTAAAGCTCTTTTCACATAGTTTGCTAAGAAAGACCAAATTCTGATATTTTTGCCTGATTAAATATTGAGTTTGATGTACAAGTATATAAATTCTCAGAAAAGAGGAATTGTCTTCTCAAAATGAAGCAGTAGCATTTTTTTTAAAGGAAGAAGAGAGGAGTTATGTTTGACAATAACCCTTCATAAGTTTTATCCATAATGACAATGGTTGCCGACTTCAAACACTCTGATTTAAAACTCTCTTATTCCGAGGATCGTAAGCAACCACACTTATTAAAGATGGTTAGTAGAGATTAATGGACATATAAAACAATATGATGGTATAAAATTTTTATTTATTTATTTATTTTGGATCAAAGTTATGGTGGTAGCAGAACTTCATCTCCTTTGACAATGAAATAAGGTGTACTTGTTTGTGTCTTTTTATTCCTTGTTTCTCGAGTTTGCACACACACATACATATACATACATATACATATATATACAAACATATTGTGTTTGTTGTGTTTGTGTGTGTGTGTGTGTACGCATATATATACATATTCATATATTTACATACATCTCAATGCTTTCAAAAGTGCGCTTTGAAGCATGCTTCACATGCAAAGCGATGTTTTGTTTGGCTGAAGTGCACTTCAAACTGCTGAAGCTAGTTGATCCGTTCTTGATTTAACGAGAATAAACAAAGGCTTTGGTTTGGTGTTCGAAGGAGTGCAAGGAGCAGACATTCTTATTGGAGAGTTTGAGGAGCACAAGGGAGCTGAGCATCTTCTTCGACTTTAGCCTAGATTTTGAAAAGCGCTTTGAAATTTGGCCTAAACTTCAATTTAACCGATCATGCCTTGGCAATTTCTTTATTCTTTATTTTACATATCCAACACCTAAACTTCAATTTTTACATATTATATTTTGGTGTTAGATATGTAAATACGTAGGAATTGGGAGGTATATATATCTAAATATCCATTTTTTAAGGTAATAGGTTGAACCAAAAAAGACTAAGTTTTAGAGCAAATTTTAATTAATACCAAAATATCTTACTTCAAATTTTGAATTTTTAAAATAAATAAACATTCTTTTTCGATATATACCTTAAAATTAGGTATTGTACAACATTTTTTTTATTTTATATCAACACGAAGCTATACTTTATGTTTTATAATTGTTAATGAAGACATTTATACATTAATAGTTTTATTAACATATTAACGATTTGGTTAATAAAAGCGTCTTTTCGTTATGTGCTTTAAGCTTTGAAGCAAAATTAAAGCCTTGTGCATCGCATAACATTTTGCTTATATTATCTCTAACGATATATATATATATATATATGTATATATGTGTGTGTGTGTGTGTATGTCTTGATATCGGAGAACCCTAACCACAATAGGAAAAACAAATATTATTAGTAATATAGCCCATTGACAATTACAACCGACGCACTTGAAAGGAAAATAACAACAGACTCAACATTTCAACACAAATTAAGGTGGATCTTAGAGTTGTGGTGGTGATCGGTGCCGGTGAAAGTTGGCAGGATGGGTGGACATGGTGGTTGGCAAGCAAAAAACAACAAGACAACAGTTTTCTGGGTTCAGGTCAATAAATATGTAGCAGATATCGACGTCACGCAGTTGTCTGGGATGATGACAATAAAGGTGGGGGGATAAAGTAGTAGTGGTAATGAAAACGGAGGACAGTAACAACGATGAAAGCACAGAGGCTGCAGGGGGATGCTTCTCGTTGTCGGAACAATTGTGGGATGACAAGGGAACTGGATATGAGCAGCTAGAACAACAGCTAAGGGGCGGGGAAGGTTGTTGGAAAGCAGAAACTACAGAACAGTGAAAAGTGACGTTTCCTTGCGGCTGTAGTAGGGTAGGGGCGGCTTGAAGCGATTTGGGAGGATGCGAAAAAGGATAAGGGAAGATAATCATCACCGCGAAAAAGGACAAGAGAAGATAATCACTACCCTGAGAGAGAGATACGGCTGAATCACCACCCACCACCCACCCAATCTCTCAGATACAACTCTCGAAGGGAGAAATAAACACCAAAGACAGTCCTAAACAAACTCGCGTCTAAAACTAAATCTAGAACATCATAAATACAAATATATAATAAGAGAATAATTAGGAGTGGCTCAAGAGGACCGACCGACTCTTTGGAAGGGAGAAAACCTAACTAGTTTGGTTCAAGTGAAAGAATGGGCTGCGCAGAAAGGACCGCGTGCGGGATGTGATCCCGCTTCTGTGACTCGTGTCATGCGAAAGACGCTTCTGTCACGGGGCATCACACATCGATCGTGGGATTTCTGCGTCCCTCCCACAAAAAGGCTTTGATTACGGGTTTTCCGCATCTTGCTCAACGTCATATATATATATATATATATAAAGCTCAAGGGCTAATATATTAAAGAGAAAAGATACAAATAGTTTGTATGAGTGAGCCCAAAAATAGACACCTAACTCACACGGTACAACACACACAAAAAAGCTAAAAAAGTACATATAAAGATAAAAAAAGACCAAAAACCAGGCCGCTGAAAAAGTAAGGGTCCTCCCAATTTTGTTCTGCCTCTGCCTCTGCCTCTTGTTCTTGGAATGGATAAAACTAACAATTTGTAAGGTGCGTACCATTACCCAAATTAATCAAAGTATAATCCATAAAACTCCTGAGCTCGAGTAGATCTCTATTCTTTTTCTTCCTCCTGGAAGTGTAAACCTATCATTCTTCATCCGAAGAATCAGTCTGATGAGGTGGTAGAGCTGTAGTAGAAGGATTACCAACCGTAGTACCCATAACATGTTCTAGTATTTGTGAAGCATGAGTTGCCTCTACACCGTATACTTCCTGACGATGGGGAGCTGCTAGGTTCTCCTGAACACTATTCTTTGTAGGTAATAGTCCTTCAATATTGTTTTCTATGGGGTTTGAAAGTGCCAGCATCACATCAATCACAGTAACAATAACAACAGTGTCAGGGGGGTCCACAGGGCCAACAAACACCTCCTGTCTGGTAGTAGACTTCTCAGGTGGAACAAAAATATCCAAAACAGTGGGGTTAGACCCATCCTTATCCACTTGAAACTTATATTTCAAATTAGGATGAAGCTCGTGACATTTATCAAGGATATGACTAAACATCTTACAGTGGGTACAATATGGAGTTCTGTTTTCCATGGCGATTTGTTGCCAATATCTATCATGAGTTGTGCCCAACCAGACTTCAGTAATATTAAGTAATGTATATCCCTTTCCACAAGTATTCTGGCCACAAAAGTTTTGATTAGATTGAGAGTGGGTAGATCTAGCTTCATAGGGTCCCCAAGGATGACCTCAATGGAATAAAATATCTGATGATGAAAAAAGTGCAGCTTGAGACTAGGTAGACTAAACCATACCAACACAGTGAGAGTATCATTATTTGGGTCAAAATTAGGAGACCACTTGAGTAATTTCATTGATTTGCCTGCGATATTAAGATATTTTTTTGAGAAAATTCGGATGTAGTTTTCAGCCACGGTTAGTTGAATCAACACATGTCTCCCATCTATGAGTCCTACTTTCCACTTGCGTACTAGTTTAAGATTATCAACAATCTTTCTGATACTTTTATAGGTGGGTGCCCCTACTAAAATTTTTCAATAAGAGCAAACTTGAATTTCTCCGTCAGGGTTGAAATTTCTAAGTTAGAGAAAAATATTGCTGCTTTTCCACCTTTCCTGCTTTCTTTCTTAACAAAAAGGCAATCACCTGTACCATCGCTATAATCCTTATAACTCGAGGGGAAGACAACCGTGGACTCCACCTGAGGGTTATCCACCACGTGGGCAAATGAGGCTTTGTTCGGTTCAACCAAAGAAGAAGGAAACACCATCAGAGCAGGGAGATCAGTCGACGTTCACCTGCTGCGAGACGAAGCGAAGCTGTTGGGCAGGGAGAGGCGCAACGCCAAAATAGAAGAGTATGGGGGAACTTTTTGTCGGGCAGTGCGATAAAAGTGTTGTCGAGCAATGAATGTGACGAGGCCGGCGTGCAAAACAGACGCGACGTGCGAAGCAGTCAGCGTCAAATTCGTCAAACGTGAACGTGTGAAGCAGTCGGCGTCGAAATAGAGCGCGAGTCGACGACAACGGAGAAGAGGCATAAGAAGCTGGAGAAATAACAACGAGGAAAGGAAAGAAAACTGATGCGAATCGCCGTAACAGTTGCTAGGGTTTAAGGAATGACCAGAGGCTATTATATGAGCTTCCAACCTCCCCTAATGTGCCTAAAAATTCGAAGACTATCTCCTTAAGGCTAACTGTGCCAGAGGGAATTCGAACCTTCGACCTGAGGGGTCTTATACCGTAGATGCCAATCAACAAGCCGGGGTACGCGACATATAAATATATATATACACGTACTAAGATGCTATTTAATGCTTTTTGTTCAATTTTGCTTTTTGAAACTTGCGCTTCACTTTTGTCAAGGCCCTCACCTACAGTATTGTTAAGAGAATTATTTTTGTAGGTGAGTTTTTTTTCATCACCTATTGTTTTTTAATACATGTACTGTCATTTTTTATGCTAAATCATTGATCTGATTGGCAATTTTTATTTATTACTTGAATATTCATTAATTTCATACCATTGATTTGGAACCTAACTTCAAATATCTTTTTTTTTAATTTTTTATTTTGATATGAGCTGTCAAATATTTTATTTGTTTGGTGATATTTTGCTAATTGATATTCTTAAATTTAGGTAGTTCGATATATCTCATCTCATCTATTAAATAAAACTTAATTATTAAGACTTGCTTTTTGGAGATATTTCACCAGGGAATTTTTTGTACATAAATATTAAACTTCAATTCTTCAATTTTTTAGGGGTATACCTTAATATTAATTTAAATATAAATTTATTTTTAATATAATTAAAAAGTTGCTGTATTATTTTTTTAGATTACAAAGAATCCTGAAAAAATGAGATAATGTTATTTATATACTTTTTTGGGAAAATTACATACATAGCACCCAATTCTTATGGATTTACCTATCTCACACATAAACTTTTATTTTTACGCACATAACACTTTAGCTATGGATGTAAAAATAGATTTGACTATTAAAAGGTGATAATGAGTATTACTTTTCATATGATGTTTGCAGTTATGAAAGTTTAGGTGTGAGATAGGTAAATATAAAAGTTTTGTTTGCTTGTATGTAAAAGCCTCTACTTTTTTATAAATATTTCTGACATTATTAAACATCTGTAAACATAGAAAAGTATTTTTATAAATACTTCTATTTTTTTAATTTCATATAATATATTTTCTGATTTTTTTAATATAT